CCCGGTAATGGGTACAGGTATGGGCAAGGGTGCCTGTAAAGGGGAGGGGTACAGACAGGGGTCCCAGTAATGGGTACAGGTAGAGGTTGGGGTCCCAGTACTGGGTATGGGTGTGGCTGGGGAGCCCTGTTGCAGGTATGGGTACAGGATGGGGGGCTCCCAGTAACAGATACAGATTGGGGGTCCCAGTAAGGAGTATGGAATGGGAAGCCCCTGTCATGGGTATGGCCCAGGTTGCCCCTCATCATCATGGGTAGGGCCCACGGGGTGTCCCATGTCACAGGTATGGGCAGCAGAGGGCCCCCCACCAGTGAAGACAGGGCCCTGTGGAGCACCCTGCTGTGGCTGGCAGCACCCCAAACCCATGGGATGCCCCACCGTGTGCCTACCCCGCAGTTCCTCCTGGGAGAGAGTGACATAGGCCAGAACCGTGCCAAGGCATCCCAGCGGGTCCTGGCCGAGCTGAACCCCCATGTCACAGTGGTGGCCCATGACAAGGAGCTGTCGGAGGCCTTCCTCGCCTCCTTCCAGGTGAGCCCGCACCCCTGCGCCCCAGGGACCCCTGGGACAGCGGCAGCGGCTAACAGTTCCAGTGCAGGTGGTGGTGCTGACTGAGTCACCACTGGAGGAGCAGCTACGCATTGGGGACTTCTGCCATGCCCGGGGCATCTGCTTCATCGTGGCTGACACCAAGGGGCTGGCAGGGTAAGGGGTCTCTGCCACAGGGTCCCCCCGTGGCTCTGACTCGCCTTGTACCCAGAGCCCACAGCCCTGCTCTGCAGCCCATGTCCCCATCCCACTGGCAGGGCTGCTCAGCCCAGGCAGGACCTGGCAGAGCTCGGGCAGCTTGACAAGGCGGCTGCTCCAACAAAAACCCATTGCTCCTCTCCAGGCAGCTGTTCTGTGACTTTGGGAAGCGTTTCGTCGTTGATGACCCAGCAGAAGGGGACCCAGTGTGTGCTGCCGTGCAGCACATCTCCCAGGTAGGAGGGCAGCCTCAGCAGGCTCCCCCAAAACACCACTGCCTTCTCCAGTGGCTTTATGCCACCCGGGTCCAGTCCCCTGCCCTCATGTCCCTTCACCTCCTCAGGGCAACCCAGGCGTGGTGACATGCATGGGGGCAGAGGACAGCCGCGGCCACCTCTTCTGTGACGGTGACCTAGTGACGTTTTCTGGTGTGGAGGGGATGACGGAGCTGAACGGCCAGGAGCCCGTCCCTGTGCGCGTGCTGGGTGAGCCACCCAGGGGGTCCTGGCTGCCCCAGTCCAGGGTTGGGGAACTTGTCGGGTCCTTGGCAGTGACCATGATGTCCATCCCCCTCTCATCCCCAGATGCCTTCAGGCTGGAGATCGGCGACACCAGCTCCTTCTCGCCCTACCACCGTGGGGGCCTGGTCTTGCAGGTTCGGCTGCCCCAGGTGCACTCATATGTAAGTCCCCCCTTGGCCCCGCGGTGCTGTCACCCAGGCTGGGGCAACACCATGCTGTGCCATGCCGTGCCCTGGCCCCAGGGGAGTGCTCACCCAAGCCCTGCCACTGTGCCAGCAGAAGCCCCTGTGCCAGGCATTGGCAGACCCCCAGATCCAGGTGGCGAGTCCCGAGGAGCTGCTGCGCAGCCGCAGCCTGCACGCTGCCTTCCAGGCCCTGCACGCTTTCCGTGGGGAGCAGGGCCATCTGCCCCGGCCCAGGGCACCAGTGAGTCCCCATTCTGCCCCTGCCTGACCCCTCCAGCCCCCTGCCACACTGCCTGGGGGCTGCCCTTGCCCCTCTGCCCGCAGGCAGACACCGAGCGGGTGCTGGAGCTGGCGCGGAGCCTGGGGGTGCAGGAGGGTTCCCTGGACGAGGACGTTGTGCGAGCCTTTGCCAGCGTGAGCGCAGGGGACCTGTGCCCCATAGCTGCCATTGTCGGGGCCCTGGCAGCCCAGGAGGTGCTGAAGGTGAGCCGGGCTGGGGTCCCAAGCCCTTGGGTCTTGCTGGTCATGCCCCGCACGGCTGTCCAGTGGCGTTTGATGACCACGAGGTGGCACTTGCTGCCTGCGTGGGGACATCAGCCTGGGCAGCAGGGCTAGGGTGGGGTACGGGGGACCCGGCTGGCGGCCGAGCTGACAGGGCGTTGTTCACCCCAGGCTACCACCGGCAAGTTCCTGCCCCTGGACCAGTGGCTGTACTTCGACGCTCTGGAGTGCCTGGAACTGGAGGGGGCTGTGCAGCTGACGGAGGAGGACTGCTCCCCAGTGAGAGCCAGTGCCGACTCCCTCCTGGGTGCCGGGGGTGCTGTGGCCACCTGCACTCACACGGCTCCTCCATCCCAGCAGATGGGCTCTCGCTACGATGGCCAGATTGCTGTCTTCGGGGCTGCCTTCCAGGAGCAGCTGGGCCGCCAGAAGTACTTGGTGGTGAGCCGGGGTGGGCGCCGCGGTGCAGGCAGAGGCTGCAGAGTGGCCGGCCAGTGCACAGGGAGCTGCAGCGGCTCTGCCCTGGCAGGTGGGAGCTGGCGCCATCGGCTGCGAGCTGCTGAAAACCTTTGCCATGATGGGGCTGGCGGCAGGGCCAGGTCGCGACCTCACTATCGCTGACATGGACACCCTTGCCCTCTCCAACCTCCATCGGCAGCTCCTCTACCGCTCAACAGATATATCAGTGAGACGCCGTGAGGCAGAGGCCAAGCTCACCCTAAAGGGTGCCTTGGCTGCCCCAGGGGCTCCCCGGGGCTTTGGTGTAGGGGAGAGCTGCCCATTCCCTCTCTGCCCTGGCAGAAGCCGAAGTCGGTGGTGGCTGCAGCGGCTGTGCAGCGCATGAACCCCAGCATCAGGGTGACGGCTCACCAGAACCAGGTGGGACCTGCCACCGAGTCATTCTACGGGGACAACTTCTTCCGGTGCCTGGACGGCGTCGCCAGTGCCCTGGACACGCTGGAGGCCCGTGAGTGCTGAGCAGGGGGAAGGGGCTGAGCCCCCAGACATGCCCCCCAGCTCCCCAGCACACCTGGCTCCCCACAGGTGCCTACTTGGAGAGCCGCTGCCGCCGCTGCCTCACACCGCTGCTGGACTCAGGCACGGAGGGGCCGCGGGGAAACGTGCTGGCCATGGTGCCCCCCCTGACCAAGCCGCTGGGGCCAGCTGGCACCCCCGACGACAGCACCTTCCCCCTCTGCACCCTGCGGTACTTCCCTCGCACCATCCAGCACACGCTGCAGGTAGGCTGTGCCGCACTGGCACCCAGCAAGGAAGCCCTGGCACCTTTGTCTTCCTTTCCGGTTTCCCTCTCTGGCCATGGCTTGGCAGCTGCTGCCAGCAGGTTACAGCCCCAGCTGCTTCCTGCTGGCAGTCTGAGCTCTGCTGCCGGCCCTGGCCCCAGCACGGCCTCTCTCTCCTCTTGGACTTGGGCTGGGGGGCCCAGGGGGCACAAGGAGGGGGTTCCAGTGCTCAACCCCTGCTCCCCCTCTGCAGTGGGCCCGCGATGAGTTTGAGGGGCTCTTCCAGCTGCCCGCGGAGAACATCAACCGGTTCATGGAGTGAGTGGGCTTGGGGGACCGGCACTGGGAGAGCAGCTGCCAGCTCTGCCAGGGTGCTGCCCACCACTGCTGGGGTTGGGGAGAGGGGGACAGACCACCACATCCCACCCAGGTGTCCCACAGGATTGCTCCTGGGCCAGCAGCAGCAGCACTTGATTTTGCAGAGACCCAGATTTCCGGGAGCAGCTGCCAGAGGGGAAGGCCCTGGAGGTCCTGGAGCAAGTGCAGGGCAGCCTGTGGGAGCGGCCACGGGACTGGCCAGACTGCGTGCGCTGGGCCCGCCAGCACTGGCAGAGCCGCTACCATGATGCCATCACCCAGCTGCTGCACACCTTCCCTCCGGAGCACGTGAGCCCGGCACCCATGGGGCTGACACGCCCCACATCCTCTCCCCTCTGCTGGCCATCCCACCACAGCCAGGGGGATGGTGTCCCCAGGCCTGACTCTGCTCTCTCTGTGCCAGGAAACCAGCCCGGGTGTCCCCTTCTGGGCAGGGGACAGGAGCTGCCCCCATCCACTGACGTTTGACCCTGACAACGTGAGTGCAGGGGAGAGCCATGGAGCCCATGGGCAGGGGGAGAGCCGAGCCTGTGCTGGGTACGGTGGGTGCCAGACCATAGTCGTGTGTGCTCCACCTGCCACAGCCTGGTCGGCCAGGGCGCTGCTGGGGATGGGCCACACATGCCCTGCTGCAGGAGGAGGAGGAGAGGCACCTCCATCTCCACCTCAGGGCAACGTGGGCAGACTTTGGCCGTGTGGGCTCATGGCCCACCCCGGCTGCCCAGGCGCTCTGCCCCACAGGACACCCACCTGGAGTACATCCTGGCTGCTGCATACCTCTTTGCCCAAGCACACAAGGTGCCACCATGCAGTGACCGGGCGGCCACCCAGACCATCCTCCGCAGTATGGTCCTGCCACCCTTCATGCCCCAGGAGGGGCTCCAGATTCCCCTTGCAGAGGAGTGGGAGGAGGTGCAGGCGCCTGCAGGTGAGGGTCCCCGAGTCGAGCCTGGTGGCAGTGGGGCTGCGGTGCTGCTTGTTCCTGCCCCAGCACCCAGGAGGACCCAGACCAAGATGGAGGGCACCATGCCATGCCCCCCCAGTGCCATGGTGCAGGGGTACCACCCCAGGGTTCTTTCTGCCCCCAGACTGCGGGCGGCTGGCAGAGCTCACCCAGGACCTGGTGCAGCGGAAGCAGGAGCTGATAGGGGGTGAGGACGTGCAAATGCCCCTGATGGAGCCCATCCACTTTGAGAAGGTACCCGGGCCAGGCAGGCAGCCCTGCTCAGTCTGGAGGGGTTGGTGGCTGCTAGCTGATGTCTCCACAGGAGGCTAATGT